AATTTAGAAAGTGAAGAGGGGCAGAGGAAGTAACTGAGCATATCTAAACAACCAGAGATACAACAGCTTGATATATAAAGTCCCCTCTTACATAAAACATCTTTGCCTTTTACAGTACGATTCATCTACTATTTAAGCAGAAGCTGAAAATTACTTCAGTTTCAATTTAATCACAATGCATTTAAATAATAACAAATATTTTAGTTACACTACTATTTCTAAAAAAGATGATATGATTATTCATTTCCCCTTCTGTCCCCATTTCAAGTTCTAAATGTTATAAAATAAATTCTGCAATTAAAAGTGAATTAGGAGCTGTCACAGTAATGTCTTACAACCTATATCGGTGAATGGGCAAAGTATTTTTTCTCTTTTCTGAAACAGTACTGGTAAGGACACACAATACTCAGGCTTGTCAGTGTTGGTATCACTTGATCATAATAAAAGCCATTATGACAACAGAAGCCAGCTGTATTTTTAAGTATTACAAAATTTAAACATATTTTGTTACAGCTTGTCATGTAATTAAAACCATTGAGTAAGCATTCTGGTGTGTCACATTTATGTCTTTTCATTCTTGTTTCCTAAATACTATCTTGTCATTAACTGCTCATGAAATCAGTGCGCAAGGTTAGGGAAGTAGCACTGCATTCAAAAGCAAATCCCCTCCTGTCCGATTTACCAACACAAGACAAGCAGTCTTATAAAAAAGAATAATTACCATTCCTGCCATCCTCCCCTCCCTCTCACATCTTAATTTTTCTGGTTTCACAACTTTTTTTTTTTTTTTCTTTTTTTTTTGCGGCGCTCTCCTTCGCGCGGCCTCACGCACCGGAGCCGCTGCGCCAGGCTCGAGCTGGCCAAGTTGCTCATCCTTGCTGGCCCTTGCAGTCAGAGCCTACGGTCCCCTGCGTCAGTAGAATTTGGTCTGTATATCGGGGGTATCTTCTCTGGGCTGCTGCTGACTGGAGAGAGTTTTGGCTAAGTCTGCAGGTCAACCAGCACGTTCATTTGAAGCTTACCATGGGAGTCTATCAAACGGCAGACTGGGAGTTGAGAGCTCCAGCTCCCAAGGAATCTCCAGGAAGCTGCATGCTCACAAAATGGGACGCAAACCCCCTGTGTTCAATTAACTGCTTAGAACGGAGTCATCACCTTCTTCCTGGCTTTCTGAAAAAGCAGGAGAACAATCCAGAACTTGCCAGGAATAAAAAGAAATACGATCACCGTTAATTTCAGACACTTTGCTGGAACTACAGCTTTGCTCAAACATCTCTCACAACAAACAGAGCTAGCTTAATTCTTAAAGTAGTTAGAGATGCTCATCTCTGATGGTTACCTACCACAGCAAAATTAACCTTGTTAATATCAGAACAGAAGGCTCCACTAGTGTTTGGGAACAGAAACACAAAACTATTCCTGAATTGCCATTTGGCTTTTGGGTAGAATTCCTTTTGTTGTTTTATTGGGAAGTTTGGGTGGGGGTTTGGTTTGTTGGTTTATTTATTTATTTATTGGTTGGTTGGTTGGTTGTTTAGTTTTCTTGCATTTAGGAACCAAATCCATATCAGAGGGAAAGAGACGTTCCTCCCTGTGTGACACTTGCACAGGTTCCTTCCTCTGCACCTGTAAGAACAAACCAAAGCAGCTTCTCGGAGTTGTGCTCTGGACTGGCTCTCTCTCATCACATGCATTTGGCTTCTACTTCCGTACCAAGTCAAGCTGAAATTCATTTGGTAATGAGACAGTTCCCTGCCAGGATGCCACGTGGGCTGGCAGCTGCCTCCCAGCCAGGGTCTGTCCCGGGGTCCCCAGCAAGGAAGCAGGACGGGCTGAACTGGGCCTCCGGGGCCCAGGGTGAGGCTGATGAGGATCAGTAAGGCTTATTAGTGCCCTTGGGGCCCTGATGCTTACAGACCAAATTGGTGAGACAGCCCATTCTCTGCAAACACTAAACATGAATTATGCAATTCTGTGTTCAAATCATCTCTATATTTTTAGAGAGCGCGAGTATCCATTTCATGGGTGTCCTGGGTTGAGTGAGTGGTGGAGTTTTTTTGGTGGCAGGAGAGGGGGATATCGGGGTGGCCCCCTGTGAGAAGCTTCTCGAAGCTCCCCCAGCTCCAAGCCAGCTCCACTTCTGTTTGGGAAATTGAGCCCATCAGCTGCGCCTCTGTGATAACATATTTAAGAAGGGACGTGGTGACATGCAGGGGGACTTGGGAGGAGGAGTTGCTGCAGCTGCATGAACACCAAGGTCAGTGGAGGAACGGAGGAAGAAAGGAGGGGGGAGGTGTGCCGGAGCAGAGACCCCCCTGTATCCTGTGGGGAGACGGCAGGGCAGCCCCCCCTGCCACCCATGGAGATCTACGGTGGAGCAGACATTGATTTATGGCCTGTGTTTCGCCTGATTGTTCAAGGTGCTGTGCCCGAAGAAGGCCGGGGTCTCATGGGAAAAGGCAGCCCCGCTGCTGTAATTCAGTGCTGGGAGGATTGCAGCATGCGGGGGAGTCCCACGCCGGAGCAGCTCGGGAAGGGCTGCAGCCGTGGGAGGGAATCCAGTCGGAGGAAGTTAGTGACCCAAGATGGAGCAGTGTGGGGAACGCTGCGGCCCATGGGAGGAATTCAAGTCAGAGAAAGTTTGTGGAGGACTGTCTCCTGTGAGAGGGGGACCACGATGGAGCAGGGGGAACAAGTTTTGGACACTCCCCTCACTGAACATGAAGGAAGTGGCAGCGCTGACTGCACCCCTCATTCCCTGCCCCTGCGCCCCTGGGGGAGGAGGTAGAGATATCGGGAGCAGAGCTGAGCCCGGGAAGAAGGGAGGGGTGGGGGGAAGGTGTTCTCAAGATGTGGCAATGCTTCTCACTGTCCTACTCTGTTATGTGTTGTTAGTGTCTGTAATAAATCTGTGTTCTTTTTTTCTTCCCCTAACGAGTCTGCCTTTTGCTCGTGATCATAAAAGGGGGATTTTCCCCCCTCCCAGTCCTATCTCGAACCCCAAGCCTGGCTCTCTGTCCCTTCTCATTGCCGGAGGGGAAGGGAGAGAGAGCTGCTGCATTGTGGTTGGCTGTCAGTCAGGCCTAAACCATGACAATGGGAACAAAACCAAACAAGAATTTTAAAAAGAGCAAGCAGAAAACTACAGAAAAAAGTATGTAGATGCTGAAGAGTATTTACTCTTCCAAGAGAAACGTTCAAACAATGAAAGCACACAGCCCAAAATACAATAAACAATACTTGCAAATTTTACATCATAAGCACCATAAACTCTTTTAAAATCTTTTCCCTGAGTTCATTTTACATGCAGAAATTAGACCAATTCTCTGGAAGTCTGCTTCAGCGTCATCCTAAAGTTAATGGTTCTTTTTTTTCCACCCTGCTTTCTTTCTCTTGCTGCACCCAGGGGCTTTGGGTTTGGTTAACTTTAAGTTCATCACCAGTGAAGGCATCCAAGAACTACATTAGCTTTACTCACTTCACATGGAGATCTTCATTCTCCTTGCTGAATGGAAAGCTTTGCTTGCAGTGGCTTTGAGGAGGACAGGACTAAACTAATGCAGAAGACTTGAAAAGCTCATCTGTTAAGGCTTTGTCACAGTACTGGCCACATTCCTACTGTTCCCCCAGGCCAGGCAGGAAACCTGCTGGTCCGGCGGCGTCAGCTCTCGCAATAAACCAGGCCCAGTCCAGTTACCAGGGAACGGTGATTTTCCCCAGCTTGACTCTTCCCACCACAATCTTTTAATCTCTAAGTACACACACTTAGTTCAAAGGTGCTGTATCTTGGAAGAGGTGGGGAACAAAGGGCACCTCAGCTGAAGCAAATCACCCACCACCTCCTGTTTAAAAAAGAATTTGTGCTGTGCTGCTGTCAGCATGGAAATGATGTTTACAGTGATCCCCTTCCTAAGGGAAGCAACAAATGCAGAGGACCTTCAAACACACGTTAATGTACAGCCTGAACCCTTGCCTGGGTTTCAGACAGTTGTATAGTATAGATTAGGCTGGAAAAAAAGCAAAAGTATTATCAGTACAGGTCTTGAAAATATTTCGTTTGGGAAATTTCACATGGAAATGCTGATACAGTCTAAATACAGAATTAGACTTATTGCTGCTAGTTATACAGAAGTTAACAAAAGTTCTTGGATTCTGAAAAACAACTACTGTGAGAGTTACACAGGTGTATAAAAACTCATTTCAGAAGAACTCTAGTGGCTTTCTTACCTGCTTATCTATCTTGCATGAAAAAACAAGCCCAGAATTAAACTAGCAAGTAAACAGAGCTAGCGTTACTTGTACTATGAAAGAGGGTCAGAAATGGTATTCATCAACAGCTTTCAAGGAAGTTCAAAACAATCAGAATGCACAAATTACAGACCAAAATTAAAACTCTGACTTTTATAAGCTCCTTTTATCTATTAGGATTGACAATTATTCTGTAAACCGTATGCTAAGCAATAGGAGGTCTTGTGTGAGACCAGCCCCTCCAGCCCCACTGCCAAGGCTCTGGCTTTCCCGGAGCAGAGCAGTGAGGAGGGCTTGCCCAAGGAGACGAGCAGAGGAGGCTGCCTCTGCGTGACTGCTGAGAAGCCCTTCACATTTCCTCCATCTGAAGTCTCTGCATTTTCCCCCCAGCCTTAAGGAGCTGCAGCAGAAGGTTGCTCAGTGGGGCACTGCTGGGGACCGTGCTGGTCCCAGAGAGGGAGGCAGCAGCCGTGAGGCTGCTCTAGCTTCACCTCACTGCAGGGAGAGTTCAGGGCAGAGCAGAGCCAAGCTCACAGCTGTTTGCCCAGGCAGTGGGAGGGGGTTAGTGCTAATATTGTGTCAGGACCAGATGAACACAATGGTTAACGAGACGCCTTCCCACACACACTCGCAGCAGCCTGAATGAAGATCTAATATCAGTCTTAAGACACTTGAAGTCAAGACTGCTGCTTGCCATCGTCCATTCTCAGCATGCTTTAGTGGAGGAATGAGGAAAAAAAAAACAGCAGTGCTGCAAGAAAAAAAAAAATGTAGTGCCTTTATTGAATGAAAAAATGGACCTTTCTTCAAAGTGCCTTTACATAACACACATGAAAACCTTAGCATCGTTTGTATAAATATATCAAAAGGAACAAATCTAAAAAAAAAAAAAAAAACAAACAAACAAACAACAGTATTTTGGCTCAGTAGAATATCCCTAAAAGTAGGGATAACAAGTAGCAGTTTTTCATTCGATCTATTCCAGTCAGCAAAAGTAATTCCGGAGGCCCGAGGTCGCTGGAACTCTGTTGGCTGGCCTGCATACTGCGAGCTGTCAAGGTGGAAGCACAAAGTCAGTATTATACTCTAGTTCTCAGAGTACAAAAACCATATTTCCAGTGTCTAGTCTTCATATTTGATACAGGGATCATCTTACAGAAGAGTTCAGTGACCAAACCTTACTGCTTCTGTCCTACTGAATTTTCCTATCGATGTGAACCATAACGATGAGCCTTGCTCAGATGGATCTCAGCAACTTCAGATGGATCTCAAGGCTCTTTTACCCTACAACAGGCTGCCACTGAACACACACCATATTTAAAAGCAGACTGTGCGCAACGGCTAAGTGAATGTGGCACACTCCATGACCAGAACTGATCCTCCCTTGACACTTATGTCTTGACTAAAACACAGAATGAGAACAGAATATAGGCATGTACATTGGGCTATACACACATCACATTCATCAGTAAAACGCTCCAGTACCGTGACAGTTTGAAATAACCTGATGTTTCAAATGCTTTTTTTCCCTCCTATCCCAAAATGAAGGGATTCTTATTCCATTCTGGACAAGTACACACTCAACTCACAAAGATCAGAAGGTACTGGCTCTCGGAAGGAGAGTTTCAAGATTTCAGCATACACTGGGGCAATCAAAGCACTTTGGGTGGGAGAGGAACCTATTCCCATTGGTTTTGTCACTTATCAGGCAGAACACCAGGGCCACAACATCCCATGTTTACTGGGCAGTTCTTCTGTGGGGTGGCACCTCACTTTATCAGTTTTGTTTGGTTGAAGATGGAGGCATAAGATAAATGCTTGCGCCATGAAAGACGAAAAAGCCAACACTGCAGTGTCAAAAGGAGTAGACAAATTCTGAAAGATGCAGAACGTGAGTATTTTCAGATGAACAAGTAGAGATATCAAAGGACCAACTCAATGGGAAAACATCTGCCTAATACTGTATTAGCAACAGCCGTTGAGGACAGCTTGGAGAGTGATGGAGTACAATGTTAAATTGCTTGTTCCAAGATAATGGAGCTGCGTGGGCAAAGATAGGCTGGAGTTTGAATGGGAGGAGAGCAAAAAGTGCTGCAAGAGAGAAGCTGATAGGACACACAGAGGAATTCAGAATTGTAAGCAGCAGTTAAAAACAGTAACAGTCAAATCCTGAAGCTTCCATATACAACTAGATCTCATAACTTGAAAATATAACTTTCAAGGACAGACTGAAAAGCACCGGCTATTTGGCTTTCATGTCTCCTGCTCCTATAAAATTCATAGCTATAAACATGGCATTAAACAGATAATTTTTTAAAAATCAATCAAATAAATTCCCTCCCCTGAAAGAAGAATTGATCATTATAAACTACATCACTGCCTATACACAAGTCAAACATGACTTCAGAATTAACGATTGTGGCATGCATAATATTGGTTAAAAAAAAAAAAAAAAAAAAGAAGGAAAGAAAGGATTCAACATTCACAGTAAGTTTTAGAAATTTCCTTTCCCAAACAGCTGTTTGGAAGCAACTCATCCAGCCTCAGCCAAATTCAGTACACAGTCACCTGAGATTACTCACATCATCAGGGCAGAGGGGAAGCAGAAAAGCAAGCAGGTGCAGGGGGCAACACCAGGCACCTCTCTCTCTCACTTTAAAGAGTACTGGGCATTTTCTAAGAGTACTGGTATTTTCTAAGCACATCTGGAGCCAAAAAGCATGGTCCCACCACCCCTTTTCTCCTCCCATTGCATTCTGAACCCTATGGAAACCACATAAACTCACTAATCTGGAAGAAAACGATCCCAAGAAGACAATTTCTTCCACATTAGTCTGTTCAGCCAGCTCCAGTTTTCAGAGCTGACAAATGCTAGAACCAGCACGCTGGCTGGGAACAGGAGGGAAGACTTGCTCTCCTTCAGGGACCCATGAGAAGTGGGTGCCCTGAAGCCCCTTGATCGGGTCCTTAAGGTAAGGCAAGAGGAAGCCAACCATTTGTACTCCCCATGAGAGAGTCTGTGCCATTAGCTAATTGTTCCACTTGGGTAAAATAAGAACAAATACATTACACTGCTTAGCTGGAATGAAAAAAAAAAAAAAAACAAAACACACCTTTGCAGATTAATTTTTTGACTCAGTATAGCATTACAATGGTATTTTTACAATGTCTGCATGGGACAAGTGACTAAAAATGGTACAATTCTTTACAAATGTAAAAAAGATGAGGTTTGTCAGGTTTAATTGCACTTTTTGGGGGGACTGGGATTGTCTCTTACCTTTTCTCTTGGATGATAACACAGTGATGCAGTACCAGAGGGATTTATCTTTCAGCAAACTGAACAAGGCGAATAACAAACTTGTAACAAAAGAAAATTTTGTGTCATTTCATTAAAAAAATTGAAACAAAAATATTGACCGGCATCAGCCATGCCCATTACATAATATCACAATTATAATTAATATAGTTCCCTTCATATTCAACCTTTAATTGCAAAACCCAAGTTTTCCGGGTTTTTTGATAGTTTTTTTCCCCTTCCGTTTTTAATACCAAAATAATTCCACCAAATCACAGTGCAAGTGAAGGCCTTGTGTACTTCCTGTGTGGTTTCCATGTCATCACTGTGCTATTGATGACATTTCAAGGCGTTCTATTGATCTGGCCACAAGAAAAAATGATTCACATCTGTAGATTACGTTGTAGTACCTTCAGTCCAGAAAATTTGGGTAAGATTGTCTGCAGAAAACAGATACATGTGACCTTCAATCAATCCATCACCAACTGTGTGAACTGAATTAGTCATTGAGTGTCATTTTTCTTTTGTTATTTAGGAAGAATTAAAGTTCTTGGGTAACAAATGTAATCCTGATGAAGATCTGTTTCTTCTGGATGGCATGTGGTAGCGCACCTTCTTCCAGAATCTGGTACTTGCTGAGTGAGACCTTTCCGAGAAGTCCCCTTTCCATCGGATAGCCCCATGCTTTTGCTTAACATACCTGATGGATTCTGGCATGGTTGCATAATCTTCTATTTTTTCAAGTTCAATGAGAATTACTTTAATGCCTTCTTGGATAAGAGCATTATAAATGGCTAGCTGCTTTTCAGACACATCTTCTAGAATACTGTAACTGGAGGGTTCTGGTACTAAAACAATTATCACTCTTCTACTTTGACGCATTTTTTCATCAGCAATGCTGATCACAGCTGTAGAGAAAAAGGTTTTCAAAATTAGGGCTGTATGTTTCTATTTTTTGTTACCAACACATTGCAGCTGGGTCATTCACTGCTTGATACTTGAGCCAACACACTTTACCTCACACATAGGGAAAGGATAAGAGCATGCAAGAAGTGACATTGGGTTAGCCAACAAGTAGAGATTTGCCCAATGCAACACAATCTGACCCCATCAAACTGCATGTCTGTATTCTTGTTTTACATAAACAGAGAAGAGCTACCAACCATCTACTACTTATCTTGCTAATGCCATTTTATTACCATCATAGGTGCAATTGCAAAAAAAAAAAAAATTCCAAAACCATAGGCCTAGATAAAACTACGACTTTTCCTTATACAGCTTGTTCTGATATGCTCAACTGCTTTTCGTTACATGTAAGTGGAAGACAAAGCAAAGAATCCTCCCTTCAGTGGCATTCCAGACAACTAATTCTAAAACAGCAAAATACAGCAAATACCACAAAAAAAAAGAAAAAAATAAATACAGGTTAACCCTGAGAAGAGATTACTGCATTTTTTCAAGCTGGAAAAAGCAAGCAGCACTTTAGATGCTACTTCTCAGGGAACCCTTCTTTCTTAAACCACTACCAAAAGACTTCAAAGGTAAGTGATTCATGAAACACCTCATGACAGTTTGTTCACATCCAATTGTTTTTTTTAACAAAAACTTATATTTAAGGCCTACTCTGCAAATTTATTCAGTCTCAGTTTTTAAAATCATAAGTCTGGGAATGATTCAGAAGACTTCCATCATTTCACCTGACATAAGCAGTCAGTGGGACAGACTTTGCCATCTTCAGTGTCAGATGCTAGAAATTTAAATTTGATGTGCATATGCACGCAGAGGAAACCTCCACAAGGATTTTAAAATCCTTGTAATTCTTAAAAGCCTTGCAATGAAGGCAATGCTTTGTATGAACTTTCACTAGGGACAAGTAGTCTTTAATACAGCTGATGGTTCCTGACAACTCGGTGTTGCTTTGTATTCTTTTTTTTTTTTTCCACCTGCACTGTCTAACCATCCATTATACTCTTTATGGCATCCCGCTGGTTTGACAACAATTCTCAGAGCAAGTAGAAGTGAAACAACAGAGAGGCCATCCTGTCAAACAGCACCTCAAAGCAACGGGCTCTTTTCACATCACTGACGAGACCTACTTTTCCACACGCTTCCTGCCATTAGTCCTCGTTCACAGCCACAATTTCAACTCCTCTTCCCCTCAGTATCCTCCCACCTTCAGATGTCTAGGCTAGCCAGATATCGGAGAGAATAAGAAAACCATTCCTCATTTGATGGTGAGAGGTATTTGGAACCACATCTGATTGAATGACTGTTTCCGAGTTGTATTTGCAGCTGCCAGTGAGAAAACTTGAGTGTAATTTGTCTTCAGATAGCTTACCCTCTCCTGGTAAATCATCCCTCCCAAATATGAAGAGGTTATATCCACACTGTCTTTCTAAGACCTCTGGCAGTATCTTCAGAGCAAAAATATCTGATGAATACAAGCAGCTTGCTCTGTTCCTTGGATAAAGAACGTAAGCATCATAGATCTTTCCATCTGAAACTGAAGAGTAAGCAACAGGAGTAATATAAAAATGGATTCTAAAGACACAAAAGCAAGCAAGCAAACAACAACAACAAAAATCTCTAAATTCTGTTTGTTCCCTACATGAATCATTGTTTTAGGTCCTGATCCTGCTATTATCTAAGCACGTATATAAAGCATTTATACTAAGCCTGAAATATTTGTAGAATCAGGCCTTCTAGAATTCAGTATGCTGGATCTGAATAGGTAGGAGAGACCTGCAAAATTAAGAAGGTTTGAATATTTTTTTTTAAATCCTAAATAAAAAAATATTATCACTGAATTATTTGGAAAATAGTTGTTCCAGTAGTATCATTGAATACTTAAAATTCCAGCTGCCATGTAACTCATAGATCATTTTTGTAACCTGGCATTTCAAAACACAGCAACCACTTAGGCATGAAAACAAAAACAAAGTATTTGCCAAATTTCAAGGTCTGAATTGTACTAGATATTTTGGAACAAACTTCTCAGACCAAATGTTAGAGACTTCAAAGAAATGTAATAGAACCTCAGTACCTCTGGAAGATATTTTCTGTTTCTCTAGCCATCTACTTTCTCTCAGATGTTTGGAAATGACCCATACTTCAGCACACTCTCATAGACAGCACCCCTATCAATATTTTTCTGAATGCCAGGTATTTTACTTTCTGCAAATTATGAGAAGTGCCTTCAAATAGAAAACAAGTGATATTTGTCCTGGCTCATCTATGGAAAATAGAAAACACCCAACAATTCCACTGTATTACTGTTTTCTGCCAGAACAGCAATTAAAAGAAATCTGAACAACTGCTGTCGGAACAGCATTCAAAGCACTGAAGTGGGTCTTCAGGGAAAGGAATAATAGTACTGGATTCCTGGAAAGTTGCTGATTTTTCCCCTGCAGATGCTTTTGTTATCTGAATTAGTTCTAAGCATCCTAAAAGTATGTTACCCTTTCAAAAATCCCAAGGAAGACCAATCACACTCCAAAAGGTTAACTCACTGCTTTGCAAGGGAAAGCAGAGGCTCGTTACAACACACAGCACTGTTACACAAACATACCTTTTTTACCCAGGAAAGGATGGCAGGAATCCCGATACCAAAGAACAATATCAATTCTGAAGATCTTGTAGATAAAGAGAGTAAAAAATACTAAAAATATTAAAGAAACTCCTCCTCCAATTAAGTAACCCTGCACGTTCCGAGCTGCAGTAGAATGGAATGAGAAGAGATGAAACAAACAAAAGAGTTACATACTAGAACCAGAGAAAGACAAAAGACATGTTCAAAGTGGTTTAGTCATTAAAATATTAAAAAAAAAAAAAAAAAAAAGGAACAAATGAATAGGACAAAGTTTTTCATATATGCTTTCTGCAAATACTGTTAGTTGACAAGCCTGCTTTTATCTTTCAGAGAAAAGATACCTTAGCAATGTGACAAATGAGGCTACTCTTCAGCTGAAACACCAAAAATATTGACATATACCCCAGTGCAGCAGTAGAGTGAGAATTCTTGTAGAAAATTTTATCAGTCAGAAAGCAATGAAGTCAGAGGTGGGGAGGTGATTTTCTGACCATGCTATTCCCCCCAGACCAACCAGCCTTCCACTGTCTCTAGCCTCTTCTCCTGGGTTTGAGTGAGTGTGGGGGGGGGGGGGTTGGCAGCAGGGGAGGGGGCTGTAGGGGTGGCCCCCTGTGAGAAGCTTCTCGAAGCTCCCCCAGCTCCACGTCAGCTCCACTTCTGTTTGGGAAATTGAGCCCATCAGCTGCGCCTCTGTGATAACATATTTAAGAAGGGACGTGGTGACATGCAGGGGGACTTGGGAGGAGGAGTTGCTGCAGCTGCGTGAACACCAAGGTCAGTGGAGGAACGGAGGAAGAAAGGAGGGGGGAGGTGTGCCGGAGCAGAGACCCCCCTGTATCCTGTGGGGAGACGGCAGGGCGGCCCCCCTGCCACCCATGGAGATCTACGGTGGAGCAGACATTGATTTATGGCCTGTGTTTCGCCTGATTGTTCAAGGTTCTGTGCCCAAAGAAGGCCGGGGTCTCGTGGGAAAAGGCAGCCCCGCTGCTGTAATTCAGTGCTGGGAGGATTGCAGCATGCGGGGGTGTCCCACACCGGAACAGCTCGGGAAGGGCTGCAGCCGTGGGAGGGAATCCAGTTGGAGAAAGTTGGTGACCCATGACGGAGCAGTGTGGGGAACACTGCGGCCCGTGGGAGGGATTCAAGTCGGAGAAAGTTTGTGGAGGACTGTCTGCTGTGAGAGGGGGACCACGATGGACCAGGGGGAACAAGTTTCAGGAGCTCCCCCCACTGAAGATGGCAGAAGTGGCAGCACTGACTGCACCCCCCATTCCCTGCCCCTGCGCCCCTGGAGGAGGAAGTAGAGATATCGGGAGCAGAGCTGAGCCCGGGAAGAAGGGAGGGGTGCGGGGAAGGTGTTCTCAAGATGTGGCAATGCTTCTCACTGTCCTACTCTGTTACGTGTTGTTAGTGTCTGTAATAAATGTATGTTCTTTTTTTTTCCTCTCCTAACGAGTCTGCCTTTTGCCTGTGACCATAATGAGTGATCTGCCCCTCCCGGTCCTATCTCTAACCCCAAGCCTGGCTCATTTGTCCCTTCTCATCGCTGGAAGAGAAAGAGGAGTGACCAGCTGCATGGTGCTCAGTTGTCCTCTGAGCTCAAACCATGACACCTCTTTAAAAACCTGTCACTAAACCTACTAATTTGTTGTCCTCAATAGATTTGTTGTCCTTAAAACAAACACTGTCCACAAACTGCATTTTTTAGTGCACGCATATTAAAGAATTTCTGAGGTTAAATTCCACCCTGACAATATTTATGAAGAACTTAGTTATGTAACAAGCTAGAGCTCAGATTCACTTTCAGTCAATTATTTGTTTACAATGTGGCCAGCTAAAGGTAAGTTTGAAAATTTGTCAAAGGATTGGCTCACAGTTGACAAACTCAACTCATACAAGTTCTGAGGCTCTTCTGCAGCTAAATTTAAAAAAAAAAATGGGCACTTATATCTGGTGATTTGCTTTTCCATGTATTTGTTTCTAAATTAAAAATAATTAATTTCTTCAACCTTGCATCTGAGGTTTTAAAGCTCACTTCACCCTTAAAGGCATTTACAAAAAAAACAAACAACCAACTTCATGCTAGCCAGCAGTAGGTCAAACTTATCCTTGCCTCTAAGCACAAGACTGGAGTCTCCAACAAGTAGCAGGATGCTCCCAACCAACATGCATGGGCCTGTCTAGACGGTAATAACACAGCACATGCATCAGTAATGAAAAGCCCATACCCTTTCCAAGCAATCTACTTCATTCCTTCACTATCATCACTGTTAGTATTTCTCCTACTATATAAATAGATTTTATTTCTTTTTTCTTTCTCCTGGCAATCTGAGCCCATTGTTTGTTACTGAAGGATAGGACAACGAGGTCCATATATTCATGTCCTTTAGACAGTCTGTTCCATACTTAGTTACATCTTCCCCCCATCTCTAAAAGAGAATTGACTGCTTTCACTGCTCTTCTAGACACACAGTCTCCTCTGATCCACATGCTTCTTTAAATACAAGTGTGTAAAATGAAGCACAGTATTCCACTGAGGTCTCATACTTGCTTCATATAAATTGGAGTCTTTCATTAATGTTTCCTAAAACACTGAATGAGAGCAGACAAAGCAAATTAAAAGTGCTATTTTCTCTAATTTTGCTAAGAATATGACAAACAAAAGCACAAAGGTATTGAGCTGCATTTCCCACTTTGCACAACTGTACACCATGCAGTTTTAGCTCTACGTAGGGTGTTGTCAAAGTGACTGTCACTGTAACATCACTGATCACCATTTTAGCAAGACAAGGCCTCTTACCTGGACATTCCAGTTTGATGTAGGCTGTAAATTGTTGAGAACCATATATGAAGTGACAGAAAAATTTATAAGCATAATCCTTTACTTTCACTTCTGAAATGTTAAATTTTGTTCCAGATACAGCAAGTCCATGAGGCATCCCCTCTCTGTCATTAAAAAAGGGTAAAAAGGAAACATCTGTAGAGAAACTGAAATATCGGTGCTTAAAATGGGATATATTCATCTATCCACAAGTACATACATTTTTTACCTCTGTAAACCTAAGAAGCCATTGAAGTACAGTAAATATGACCCCTGTAGCAAACAGCTTCACGACCAGAGGTGATTTGGCATTTTCCACACACATTGGGTCGTTGGGTTTTTTTGCCGAGTGGGACAGAATGCACCATTAGCAGTTTTGCAGATGATAACAAAACTCAAAACACCAGAGGGTTGTGCTGCCATCCAGAGGAACCTTGACAGGCTGTAGAAATGGGCTGACAGGAACTTCATGAAGTTCAGAGCAAGATGCAAATCCTGCCCCTGAGGAGGAATAATCAGCACCCTGGACTGCACTAAGAGCACTGCCAGCTGTTGAGGGAGATGCCCCTTCCTCTCTACTCGGCACCAGCGAGATCAGACCTGGAGCAGTGGGGCCGGTTCTGCGCTCCCCAGTACGAGAGATGTATGGATTTACTGGAGAAAGCCCAGCGCAGGGCTGTGAAAATGATTAAGGGTGTGGAGTATGTGTCATATGAGAGAACAAGGACTGTTCAAGCCTGGAGAAGACTCAGGGGCAGGGGTTGGGGGTGGATCTTATCAATGTGTGCAAATACCTGACTGGAGAGAGTGGAGAGGAGGCAGCCAGGCTCCTTTCAGCAGTGCCCGCTGACGGGACGAGAGACAATGCGCACAAATTGAAACAGCTTCCCATCTGATACTCTATGTGAACACTTTTTTACTGTCAGGGTGGTCAAACACTGGAACAGGTTGCCCAGAGAAGTTGTGAAGTCTCCACCTGTGGCAATATTCAAAACCCAACTGGACACAGCCCTGAGCAGCCTGCTCTGTCTGACCCTGCTTGAGCAGGGGGGCTGGACTAGGCAATCTGAAGAGGTCCCTTCCAACCTAAATGATTTTGTGAATGAAAGATAATTCAAACTAGTAAAAAAAGTGCCAAGTGAAAAATCATCTTCCAGGATTCTTTATACCGATGATGAAGCCAAAACCCTTCTAAGCATACTAACAGATTCCTTGAGCCCACAGTGTCCACAGTCAATGGCACCAACCAACTTAGGAAATAATTATGAACAGAATTCACAAAAGCTGGGTGACCCTGGTGTCAAATGACAACAAACATGGTGATACTACCTTTATGGCCAATGCTTTTTGCCACAAGAGGTTTGAAGATATAATGTCCTATTCTGCTAAATACCATCCTGCTCTGAGGTAGATTTACAAGTGTAAGATGGAAAGGGACGCAGCAGGAAGGTACCTACAAACTCACCTCTTACTCTATATACCAAAGTGACATCACCTTATGTACTCAAGGAGGAAAACTAATTTTGCAGAACATCCTGAAGAACCAATTTCTTTTATATAAATACTTGCCAGCAACTTCTGTCATGGGATGCCAATACAAACCTCATCATTATGCAGTGTGTTCAGATTTGTTCAAGTCAGTTTTAACTTTCCTACCAGCAGAGAAAAGAGTTACCTCCTCGGTGTAAGCCCTCAAGTCTGTAATATTGGCTATTCCTACTGTCCTTTGCTATGAGCAAATGCTTCACAAATTTAATTGCTGAGAAATTGCTACTATTTTTTTGAAATAAAACATTATTATTGCAATTAGATTCAGCTCTCTGATACTGGATAATTTACTTTGAACTATTAATCCTAATTAGAACTTGCACAGGACGTATTTTGTACATCTCCATCTCTGGCATGGGAAGATTATCAGGCAAGGTAGTGATTAGAAATGGAGATCACTTCCAAGCAAGCCAAAAATCTTAACAGAGAATTGCTTTAAGTTAAATATATTAAGTCCTTTCCAGGAAAATATCTTTAATAGCAGTACCAAGTTGGTTTCAGCAGAAGCTCCAGTTATTATAACTTCAAATGCCTGCACATGTGTCTTAATGGTAAAGCTGAGAAACTTCAGGTCCTAAAAATAATGGACTTAGTTGTGCCTCAGCAATCATAAGCTGGGGCCCTAATATTTATAGGCAAATAACCAAGTATACAGATTTATAATGAAAAGTAATAATTCCCCCTAAAGGAACCTGGGGACAAAGCAGAACTAAGATTCCTTCTGGAGGCCAGATACAGATGAATGAAAAAGACAATTCTGAAAGCAGTGTGCAGCCTAACTCTCTGGCCCTATTTTGCACTGCTGATGGTGCTTGGTGGAGACAGCAATGCTTCTGCAGGAGTGTGAACTGATCAGCTGAGATTTGTTTTCCTTCATTTGCACTACATTTTAAAGGTTGTATCAATCACTGCTGTTAAATACAATGAGAAAGTAAACAGTACATCCACACTCTGCTACAACATAGACCAGTCACTGAGTAACAAAGGTCCTGCTCCCTTGAAAGAATTGCTGGTTTTATCAGCTTGTGCTTAATTTTTCTGAACATAAGAAAAAAAATCCCCAAACCTAAAATGTCCTGTAACAAGAGCTTCTGCTTTGTGTTCTTGAAGATTAGCAGCTCTGTCTGTACTTAGAAAAGGACCAACTTCACAAATAAAAATAAGTTGGGTGATTTTTTGAACAATCTATCCTTCCCGTATTAATGATAGAGAGCAGGCTTTAATCTATTAGCAAAAAGGATTGCATAAGAACAAATGCATAAATAAACCTTGCAAAATTATGTTTCACAGCAGCATTATAAAAACGAACATATGACTGCTTCATTACATTTGTATCAGATACATCAGTATTTATAACAAAATCTTTATTTTTTTAAAAAAAACAAGCAATAAGAATATAAGGTATTTGATGCAGACTTCTAATCAGTCTTTCCATGACTACTGACATTTGACTAGTAAACTTTATGGTGAAATCACTGCAAATTACTGCAGATTACTTCATCTACAAATGCACTTACAATTCAATTTATAAAGATACTTACTCATAAAACTGCTCCCTGTAGGTGCTATCAAAGCTATCAACATCCTCATCATTAACTTGCCAGAATGGAATCAAGCCATTTATGCCACTTGATATATTACATTCCATAACTACATGAGAGCCTACAAAAAACATTTAAATACGGCAATTGAAGGTCTGGTAACAGAAACAGGATCAAGTGATCGGGGAACAGCTGGGAAAAGGAGGGATATTGAAAAACTCACTTACCTTATAAAAAGCAGAGTCCTTAAAACCCATTTGTAATCCACACTTGGGTGTCTCTGATCTGAATATAAATTCCACTCTAAATGTAGATGTCTAAATGTTCACGTCTACATGTAAGCTATACGCCTAAGCTAGTAAGAGTTCAGCTCTGCTGAAGTCCACTCACATTAAAAATAGGCACCTGGACCTTATCAACTGCATGGCTTTCCAGACTCCACTGAAAGATCTCCAGGTCTCAGTTCAGTTGCATGTACACAGTATGGTGCCATCAGAGATGCTCTCTGGCATCCAAGGCATCCTTATGGAGCTGGCAGATAGGATTCCAGATCTTCAAGAGACCTGCACTGCTAGAGTAGCTAGGCCACCCAAAACAGCACTGGACATCTATGTGTAGGCAACTGAATTGAGTCCTCACTGATCATAGCATGAATTAAGGACCATAGCTCATATGCAGATACCCACGTGTAGACAACTATGCCCTGGCACTAAATCCCATTCTCAGTAACCACCCATATTTTTACTCCAGATCAGAGTCTTTTAGCCAACACTGTCCACTGGGATGGTTTCTGAAAACTCTCACACTCTGCTCCCTGAGCAAGCTCACCTGTCACTCAGCTCCTTTGCCACCGAGAGTCCAGATCTTACAGAATGCCTCAGTATTAAGAAAGCAAGCCAAGCTGCAGAATGTGTTTATTGCCAAGGTACCTCAGAGAGCTCCATTTACAGGAAGGTAAGCAGCTTTCTTGGAGTCCTTTCATTCTGCATTTTACCCACGGAAGTTATGATTTGATAGAAGGTGGGCTCTCAGTTCACCTATGTAAAGATCTCAGTGTTTCGTTTCCTAGAACCACATCAGATCTAGATGCTTCCACCAAGGGACAGTCTCTATCAAAAGTATGGAATAAACCTTTAGCTCACATGCAAAGCAGTTACTCAAAGAAGAGTTCACACAGAAATCACAGATGCTCCCCAATGTCTTCCCTCACAGCCTTCCACCACAATAATGAATTTTTCTAAAGATATGGTTTAGTGCATTGCACACCATTGTGAATGGTAGAAAACCCCTCAAGTGTTCCATGCCCTCCGTTTCCATACATTCAGTAATGTACTGTTCAGTTTCTACACAACCTTCTCCTGCCATCTCTCATTCAAAAAGCATACAGGTGTTTCCAGATTCTGCCCCACAGCCAGACATTTAATAGCAGCGAAGATTTTTTTTTTTCCCCAGCATCCCGTTAAAGGTACTGAACAGAGAATATTACTTTTGAATGGCAGTGCCTTTGTAAAAACAAAACAAAACCAAACCAACCACTTTAACAACTTATTTTAAAGGGTTCTCCTGTAGTAGGGCATCATTTGTAGTTATTCAGTAGGCACAATAAACTCACTTTGTGAATGGAGGCTTTGTGTCTCCTTTTAGTCCCATATGTGACTGCTTTCTGAATGTCTGTAGGGCAACCAAGGTTTGTTCATTTTAGCTGGTCTAAGGCATCCAGTAATACACCAGCAACTTTTAATTAATGCAGTGTCCAAGCCATAACAAATATGGACCAAATGCTATTCTAAAATAAGGAGGCTAAACAAGATGTCCCGTAACACATCTTAATATAGGCCAAGAGTCACAGGCAGCCCCTGGACTAATAATTGCTCAATTATCCATTTTCTCAGCAAGCACTATCAAGGATTAAGAAAATCCTAAAGGATGTCTTCAGTAAATTAACGAGCCTTTTAAGGGCCTATGTAGATCAGGCTTCTTCTAAGTACAGGTTGCATTCATAAGAATTTCTCTGAATTAAATGGAAAGTCATAACTAATTACCAGTCAGAACCAGGGATGAGATTTGCATGGTACTTTAATGGGTGGAAGATGCAGTACAGGGAAGCCCCACCGTAATGTTACTTAATTTCTTTCACAGTTACAATTACAAAGGAAAAGAAAAGTTTTCACACAAAGATTAGGGTTGTGTAAGGTAAAAAATTACTGCAGAAAGTCTCCCTATTTCAGTCTGAGATATGGTGAACAGATTTCCTTATGAGTGGAAGAGTACAAATAAAGTTTCTGAGGCATGTAATTGTAATGAAGCCAGAGAAGATGTAATCACCAGAGAAGAAGAGGCTACTGAGCCATTTCAGAGTATTTCCAACAAAATTAAGTAACCATCTCAAGACTGCCTAACAGTAAGTCTATAAAATAATACTTTTTGTATCAGATCCTGAATATTCCCACTGTTTAAAACAAGGCCTTCTGGACTTTGGAGGAACGTAATTTCTGTTAAATCTCATTCATTCTTCTGGTCAAAATCTACTGATCCTCACCAGAACCTGGCAACTTCAGAATGAGATATCTTTCACAAGCTGCTGAGGTTGAAAAGGAAAAAAAAAAAAAAAAAACAACAAAAAAACCAAACAACCCAAAAACAAACATCAAAACTAAACAAATGCAAAGCCCTAAAACAACTGCAGCAGAAAACAGCCACAAACAAACCAACAAAACCACAAAACCCAACAGTATTTCAGTGTTGTTCACGTCAGCTTAATACCATACACACAGCCAGAATTTGGGCCAATGTGTTTCACATGATGTGAAAAGAAGCATGAAGCCTCAACATGAGAAGAGAACACTTGATATACACAGTATTTACAAGCTCCATGTCAGAAAAAGCAGCAGCAAAAGTAGCTGTGTTATGTGGGACTATCATCAGTGTGATGTACATAAGAATAATCCACATTGCTCTGGCCTCAGCTCCCATACAGTGCCAGAGCCCCAGCAAAACCTTTCCTCAGGGCTTCTCTAATGATCTAATTGGTAATAATCCTTCCTCAAAAGATTGCGAAACAGCTTTGATCCTGTACTAGGAAATTCCTGTAAACAGCCAAACACACTTCTCCAAAATCAATCAGTTAATGCCCTTTTTAATCAAATACTTTGTTTGAAACAGTTCGCCTTGCTGCAAAATGAGAGCAAAAATTACAGGCTTGCTTAGGAAAAGATTTGCATATGATACTCTTCGCCTATAGAATCACAGCATAATTGAGGTTGGAAGGGACTTTGGGAGGTCTCTACTCCCCGTTTCCTGCGCAAAGCAGGGCCAGCTCTGAGGTCAGACCAGGCTGCTCAGAACTTTATCCAGTTGGGTTGGGTTCCACAACCTCCAAGGACACCAACTACACAACTGCCTGGCTGGCCTCACTGGGAAGAAGTTATTCCTTATATCCAGAATCTCTTATTTAAGAAATTTCTAAGATAAGCAATACTTGGGATATCCATCAACTAGCTGCTCACTGTTTCTCAAAAAATCAGTATCTGAAACATTTTAATCCCCTAGAATCAGGAATAAAATCCAGGTTGCAGAGAGGGAAAGGAGACAGGAAACATACAGGAGGAAGAAAAACTACTGAACTGGTCAACTGATAACTATTCTAGCGTGGTACATATATGTAACCATATTTCCACAGATACTGAGGATATGTCAAGACACAGACACTGAGAAGTGGTACAAAGGACAGGTGGCAATAATTTAAAAAAAATAAAATAAAAAATGCAGTCCACCCAACACTGCTGGTCAAGAGACTCCAATATGAGGCACACAGTTATTCCCCCTACAAATGACTTGCAGGAATCATGTTCTATTATCCGTCCTCCAGTTATCCTCAACCCATGTGCCTATCTCCCAGTCTTGCTGAAGTCAGTGAAACTGTTCACTTGATATTTCAGAAAAAACAGGATCTTATTTGTTCTACTGAATGTTAATGACTTCTTAAATAGTCACTACTTACCAAGTTCTACTTCAATTGTATTGTTCTTTGGATAAATAAATTCTGGACTCATCTGCTGTGGTCTTTCTAACAGAAACAAATAGAAAAAGAAAATCTTCAGGCAAAGAAGAGTTTCACAACTTAATTCAACTGATAGTTTTACAATAGTTTTGGTTTATTGTTTGGTGCTGTTGTAGTGCCATACTTACTACCAGTTTCAAATTTACAACAGAAAATATCTCAGAATATTTGATGTACTCTATCCAAATTATTCTACTATAGCTTCCAAGTTAACAAAAGGCTTTGACTTACCTTAAAAATACTTTAAAAGAAATCTCAAATTTACTGGAAGTTGATATCAAAGTAATACAAAACCAGAAAATAAAAACAAAACCTAATAATGCGACTAATTTTGTCAGAGAGATGGATAAGGAAGAGAAATAGGGATTATATCAATGACCTCCCAGATCAGGTGACTATCTATTTAAGTAAAAGGGTGAACAAGCACACACTTAAACTGGGCTGCAACTGTATCGTTCTGTACAATGTACAGACTTGCTGCTAACGACCCACTGTTCTTGTGTCACCTATCTGAAGTCAGAATTTTAGTGTAATCTAAAATAATGGACACTCTACCTCTAGACAACTTTTCTGATAGGACTACTATCGTGATACTGGACAGGTCATCAGCAATGCTGCCTACAAAGATGCAATCACAATGATCACACCAATAAAAGACAGTACTGAGAGAGAGAGACAGCCAGTGCTGAGTCCTGTGTGCAGAAAAGTACAACCAAGTGCCACCAGAAAGCCAATCCTTTCCAGAAGAAGATTTAACAACTTCCCAGTATTTATACAGCTTGTCACATCTCCTTTACCATCAAATGATATTCCAGTGAACTTTGTAAGCACGTTCATCAACGGGGCCACAAGCAGGTGTTTTGCTGTGATGGTACCAGCAAAAAGAAAACCAAACAACCGACAGGAATTTTTTTTTTTTTAATAATTTGTTTAATTTAATGGTGCATTATCTCTTTTAGCAAAAATGCTCTCCACACACACCCCAGTAACCGCTGCTTCCTTCTAATTCTTATTCCTAACTCCACATTTCTCATTTCCCCATGACAATTCTTCCTCAGAAACAACGCTCAAGGGTAGCAACATGCATTATTCTTTAATTTTATATTCAGGAAAAACTTAACTAAAGAAGATTTGCAACCCTAATTTCACAGAGTGGAATAGTAACATGCCTGCATACGCTTATAGCTTATGCCTGCATACAAATATTTAGATCAGGGCCAAAGAGAGTAATTTCAATGCACTTACCTTTAACCTCTAGACTCACAGTTCGTGAAACATTATATTGTTTCCCCATATATGTGTATACCATACGGCATGTGTAGTTTCCTCTGTCCTGCACAGTTACGTTGTGAATCAAGACAGCATTTTCACCCTCTGCCAAAAGAAGTCGCTTGTCTTCAAGAAATCCAGGCTTACACTCCTACATATATCAAAAGTACCTGTGATTTAAGGGAACTAATAATCTGACACTTAAGTTACTGAACTCTACTGATTATTAAAATACTTGCCAAATACAGATTTTTTTTTTTGAAAGCCACGATGTGGGTTCTTATCCAAGTATCACTACATGAAGCCTGATGACATCTTGCCACATTTGCACTTTTTAAAATCACTGCAGCCAATCCTTTAGGTTTTCAAATGCTGTGTTTTAGTTCACTGCCTTAGTTCAATAGCTTGACAGTTATCTATCTGAACTGTAATAAAAATTTTTATGAATGTAGCAGAGTTTATGAGAATATGTGCCTGCATCCTACTTCACTGAGATGAATGAGAGCTGCTGTAGCAGTGCCTCGTGCTGTTGGCTGTATTACTGTTTCTGTGCTAATGCAAATACAGTGAAAAACTTCCTTCTCTTCCCTGGCCTATAAGCAGACTAAAATAATTTAATCTCAAAAGAAGATGCATAGATGCAACACCAAGTTTATTTTACATGTTCAGGCCCATGTAGCTACTTTAATATCAGAATTAAAAGTTGAACTACTTTAGAATTTTACCTTAATATGGACAAAATACATGTTTCTAAACTTGCATAGTCTACAGAGTATTTTGGCAGAATCAGAGCAAGAGGCATAAAAACACCACACCATGATCAACAGGTGGGCAGAATATCAGGCTTGTCCTAACTGAAATAATTATGCAGAGCCTTGTATTTAAGGAAACATGCAAGTTTTTAAGCTTGTTACCTACATAAAATAATCAAAGAATAAACTAGATTTTCACAAATCAATAAACCAAAACACATGTTTTTGACTCTGAAAAAACTTCCACAACAAAAACGGACAATTGGTTTTTTTTTTAAAAAATATGCCTCCCATACCTCTTTACACCTCCCCAATAGTGCAGCAAGATAGACACCTTACTTAGACTGTAGAGAAAATAAACCTTCCCTTCCAAAATATGCTTTTCACAGTTATTTCATAACACATTTTAAATAGCGTATTTCAGAATAACTGAAATACACACTCATAAATACCTTATACCAGTGTACTTCAGGCTGATTATTGTCTTCATCTTTAAAATGTTCTAGATCAGGGCATATAATCTTTCCAGTATTTGAGCTCATCACTTTTTGATCAAACTTCATTTTTCCATTAAAACACAAACTGTTATCGTTCTTAAAAACTGTTAAATTTATAGTTTTTTTGTTAGAGTGGTTAAGGCTCCTGTAATTAGAACAACAGAAAAGTCAGGTCATTAACATTAAGGTTCCTTGTTTCCAGCAAGTCAGGGAGTTTACAGAGAGGGACTTCAGCATCTCCATCAGCCTTGCCTCTAACAGCCCTGCTACAGCCCCCCTAGCCCTTAAACACCACCCTCAGCTCCTCACCCCCTGTTCCAGACCGAGAGATGGGAATAAGCTCTGACTTTAGGTTGTGAGCAGCAGTGGGGTCTGCTCTGGAAGCAACAGAGGGGATGCCAGGACCCCACAGCACCAACCCAGCCTCACCATTTTTAGCACTACATTTGCCAGCACATGGTAGTGCAGGGTAACCCAAAACATATCTGCACTGGAACACACCCTCGGTGTCAAATGAATAGGAGAAGACAGGTTCATCTCAGCATTCCTTGGAGGGACATACCAAAAAAACCCAGGCTGTGACTCAGCATAAGAGAGACAAAGCTTTTGAATAACATATACATCAAGGTGCAATGTTAACTTGAAACTACATCACACCAAGTGCTCACGTGAATTTGTGATACAGTAGCTCTGCAGAGGAGACATGGCACTAGAAACGAGGAGCCTATGCCAGAAGTAAAGGAATACTCTCTATTAATTCATTACTCAACTATTTATTTCTCAATGCTAGGCTAAGAGAGAAGTTTCCAGAAGAGTGAACTGCATGTTTTGACAGTCCTGGCTCCAACTTCTCTGTACTGCACCTTGACAAGCTCTGTAATTAAGGTTTAAGTGACTGATGCACAAAAACGTAGCCTACAGTTGAACTTTAGGAAGTGTTTTTTTGTCCTGCTGACATTATGCAAACTAGGGATGTGAGGTGCCAACAGGATCACATCTCAGAGTAACTAGAAACATAGCAGGAAAAACTAAATTAAAATTCTTCAAAGCTACGCATTTAAAAGGATTACATTTCTTCTGGCTTCCAATTTCAGCTTCATTATTGACTCTGGAGCAAGAAGGTGCAATGACCTGCAACCACTGACTACACTGAAAGCTTTTGCTGATCACTGTTACTACGTTGACAACCCAAATCCCTTCAGCATAACTGGTATACTGTATGCACACCAGTACAAGTAACTATACCCTACTAAAACAAATCTGGGGTCACCCAAAAATCCTGCATTGGCTGTTCTCAGTGTGCTGTGGCAAGAGCATGAGGAAAAGAACAACTTCTGTTTGCCTTCCCAAAATTAATTTCCTGTTCAGCACATGGTGAATTTCAGCCATTATAAGTGAGATTTGACCACCTGAAGTGGCGAAGTCCAGTGCACTAATCTGAGCTGTAAATAGGGCAAGAGTTTTAAAGTACTGAAGAAGTGAAAATAATTTAGTTTTGTTTTTGTCTTCTCTGAGCAGTCAGATCTTTTGAGCAGTACTAGGGACACATTACTTTCACTGTCTCTAAAACTGTCTACCACATTGCTTTGCTTTTCACATGCATTCTCATTTTTGACCAGTAACATCTGGTGATGTTTTAAAATAAAACATAAGAATGGTTTTCTATCTTTTAATTTGTACATTTCTAAAAGAATTCACAAGAAGTTGCTAAGCTTTCCGGAAAGTTTGCATGTGGTGATACTGCATAAAATGTAGAGTTTGCTCCTCTTACATCCTTCTTCCATTTAACCCTGTTCAATGAAGAAACTGAAATGTTCTGATCTGTCAGCGTCAAACAGCAATCTGAACACAGGAAAAGCTGAAGCAGGTGAGATTTTTCCCTGTGACCTTACATTTCATCCAAAACAAACAACCAACCCACACAGACCACTGTTAATATTATCATGCTTTAAGATAAAGTCTTCTGTATGAACCATTTTTGCAATGCTACATATGTGGGAGGAAAAAAAAAAAAAAAGCAGCACTCAAACAAAAAGCATGGTCAAAACAGTGCTTGTAACTGAGGTAAGCTCTCTACCTAAACCAAAAAATTCTGTACACTCAAGTTCCACAAATACATTATTACACTTGTAAGCATTAGAAACCCAATTGTTTCCTTCCTTCATCCCTTCCTTACCTTACATCACATTCATAAAGTCCAGAATCTTCCATCATTGCAGGGATAAACCAAAGCAAGCCCTCTCGCTGGTGGATCCTGGCATCTCTCTCTGTGGCTATTGGTGTAGCACTACCATTTTTATACCACGTCAGATTGTAATCAGAGTGAAGCACTGGCAATGTAATTATTGGGCAACTAATAGCTGTAGGCTCTTCATCAAGCACAAAGTAATCACAAATAATGCATTCTTCTATTAAAAAAAATAAGAAAAAAATTAATGCCTTTAATTTGTACACTTGTATGTTTTAGAAGTATTAATATTCATTCCAGGTTACACAGAATTAGAAAATAAACTTTCTGTAACAAATTCCCACTAAAACATCGCAAGGCCACCATCTTTTGTTTGTTTAGAACCTTCCAGTTGAGGGTCTAACACACATAGGTTACAAAGCTTAAGCCACAACATCCCTCTATTAAGGTAGTCAGCAACAAGCACGTGTAAATCCAATAGCCTCAGTGCAAATCAGGCTGTAAAAAGATACACAGGATTCACCAGGCAATACAAGCTTCACAACTCACCTGTCACGTCCTAGTTCTTTGAGTATGTTAGTACTTTTTGCAGAATTACAAGAATCTTAATTTAGATACTATCTATGAAAAGCATGGTGCAAGCAGTAGCAGTGCAGAGCGCCTCACAGTACTCTGGCCATTGACTGTGAGGCCCAAAAAAAAGGAGAAAAAAAAAAAAGAGGGGGAAAAAAAAAAAAAAAAGATTGTTTTTGACCTGAAGCACCAGACAGTATGGAATGAGATCAAGATCTCAACACAAAGAAGTCAGTGAACCAACATGTCATAATACAAAGGAAATTTGGAGAAGACCACTATTTAGATTAAGAAGTCTTGACTATAATGTATTAGTTCCTTACTACATTTTCAATTTCTGTCATCTTTATCCAAAAGGCCCTTTAATCTATCAACATTATTCTGAACATCACATAAAAGGTAAGCATAAACAGAGTTTTTATAATTATGGCTGCATAGCACGTTGACAAGACACAATCATGCAGCCTAGCAAGCAGCTTTTTTAGACATGAGCCAAAAAAAATACCAGAAAAAAGGACAGATACAGCAAGAAGTCATCGAAAGCCCAAATCTGCAAGTGAAAGTTACGTGGAGAATACCAGTTGAGCATAAAGCAGATTTTAAAAGCTTCCAAATTTTTGCATACACATGCATGAATTCCTATGAAACTGCAAAACAACTGACTGAACTGATTTTACAAATCTCGCTGAATGACTGTAAAAATACAAAGCTAATGTATTCAATTTAAAAATAAAAAGGTCTTCAGTAATCTTTCCAGTCCCACCATCTTCCTACCACCTAACCTAAAGATTTCCAACTAGGTCCCTATGCAGCTTAAACTAATTCAGAGATATGAATACTAGACTGCTTATGCCAAGAGCAGCAAACCAAGCATCATTAATTTATGTAATCCTAAACTTTATTGAAAAATCAGATCTACCATTAAAAATATTACGAATTAATTGTAAAGGAAACTGAACCCTAGTGCTTTCAAGACCATAGCTACAGCATGTCTCAAAGAAGGCATTCATCAGCTCTATCAAGGAAGCCAATATCTTTGGACTTTCTTCACAGGAATCAGGGAACAGCTAATCAAAGCCTCAGTACCCTAAATTTATGTGGCTAGTTTTAAAAATATTTATGTCAATTTGCCCATTCCATCCCCAGTGCAACTTCAACCCAAGAAGAGGCACTCAGCATATCTTCAATACGCTGAAGCAAAAACAAACCCCAAATCCACTACTTGCTCTCAGCAATTATTTTCTACTAAAAAACACACAATTCATGCTTTGCAGGTTTTCTTTTTTAAAATGGTAATTTCAGCAATGTAATTAACTTACCAGCACTGAACATAGGTATCAGTAGAATGAGATGACCAATGAGCAAAAATGTAGATGTCATCTTTTGCTGAAAAAAATAATTTTTTTCCATTAGTGTGGTAAGAGTGTTCAAGCTGCACTGTCCTCTGCACCCTGCATTACTCCTTAAAAAAAATCAGAAGAAGCATTAGTCATCTTGGGGAGGGAAAAAATGGATTTGGTAATGTAGGCCCAGCCTTCGAAGATTTCAACTACAGCAACTGTTGGTCTTCACAGATGGCTGCTCAGTTTTCAGCTTTCTACTGGAATAACTCTTGCATAAAGTGTAATTTTCTTTTGCCAGCATAGTTAAGCCAAAAAATAAAAACCCCAAACCCTCTAGCACAAACAAGTCATGCTAGCATACAGTGATTTAAGCTATACCGTATAATTTAGAAACTGAGCTTGATTAAGCTACTCCTCCTTCCACATGTTTACAACAGTGACACAATCACAGAGATTTATGAGGTTTCATTTTCTGAACTGTTCTCTTACAGTTAAGGCAGCACTGCTTTTAAGAGTAGATGAACTTGTAGTTCTTTGCAGGAGGACAAGCACACTGTAACTCCAGCGTGATGTGGCACTTAAGCTGGTGCCTAAAGTCAAACGTGTGTGGAAACCGCAGCCAGTATGAACTGCTGTGGTCAGACACAAAACAAAGCATTCCAGAATTGTAGTTTCACTTCACACCTCAGGTATGCTTCACAGCTTTCTCCAACAAAGACATGACTGAACAGACACACACTGCCCTCATGGCCCACAAGCAGCTTCCATGAAACCTCTCAATCTTAACCAAGTCCTGCTTCCCTCTCAGATGCGCCTGCTTTTTCTTGGCAAGATGTCATCAGAACCCTCCCCAAGCCTTCTACTGTCAGCCAGCTGGCAAACGCTTAACCTCTTTCCTTTCTGACAGCTCCTTGTAGGTTAAGGTCTGCATTTAGCTGTCTTGCCTTTACTCAGTTCCTGACTATTTTGCATGCTGCTGCCTCTCACTTTAGAACAATCTGGTTTCCCACACAGCATTCCACTGCAGAACATTCATTGCACAGGTCCTAGATAATACATGCCTTCTACCCAGCTAGAAATGGCTGGGAGATGGTACTCCCTGAAAAACACACACGGCCTTGACTTACTTTTCTATCCAATGTAGTTCACTTTAGTGACAAGCCACACCAGCTCCTTCATCTGAAACATTTCATATGCAGAAGTGTTGGGGTAGTAGGGAGGGACACACACTGCAGAGTTCAACACCTCAGTGTAACAGCCTCCAAGTATGTACTTCTTTCGGACACTTTACCTGACAAAGCAATCATACCATAGCTTCTATTTAGTTGCCTTGTATGTGGTTTTCCTGTAACTTGCCAATGAGCTGATCATCATTCTTGGAGTTTCAGTTTACCTGTAAGCAGTAGAGAAGAGGAGTGGAGAAAGGGAAAAAGGATTTTACAAAACATATCATTTGGACACCAGCATCAACATACAAAACCACATTTTATACAGACATCCTAAATGTAAAAGTAAGAGCATCCCTCTGCCTACACCAGAGAGATTACTTAAAACAAAAGAGCCACAACAAAACTTGCAGTAAAGATTGACCAAGAATTCTAGCAAAGACCTTTGGAAAATGAAGTTTCTGTCAAAAATAAGATAACATTACACAGGTGTCAAGCAAGCAACAAAACCAGACATAAGCAATCACTTTGAAAGCTTGTTGTGCTCAAAGGAAAGAGGTACATGAAGTCTTTTGAGAAAAAAAAAAGGAGGAAAAAAAGAAAACACAACAAACAACAAAACCCCACACCACCAACCAATCATGTCTGTGGTTCAAGCTACTAAAAAATAAGAGGTTTGATTTCCAAGTTACTTCCCTAATATTTATCTTCCCATAATTAAAATACAACTACTACTCCCTCAAATTTCTGAAATTACCATCTTGAAAACAGAAATAGAAAACACAGGGACTTAATTTAAGATACTGACATTTTGTTCTTTGCAGGTGTCTGTCTTCACAGAACTTGTCCTTTTACCTGCCTTAGGCACACTGCCAACTTTAAATACCATAAGAACAGGCTTAGAGACATATTGGGTCCTAAGTCTCCATGCAGCAGAATTAGCAAACTTGTCCTTCAGGAAGCTGTGTAAAAATACATAGCTGTATCTTTGTTTTCCAAATTTCCTGTCTCCAATTTTTAAGAGATTTTACTTGTAAATAATTTACAAACACATGGACGTGACAGATCCTTGCAAAGGCCAACACAATGATAAAACGCTCAAGAGAGTAGCATAGAAAGCATCCAAGTCCCTCAATTGTGTATCAGCACGTAGCTGTTAATTTAAGTGGCTCTCAGTACTGATCACAGTCAACAGGGACTCATTACAGAAAGGGTGACCGACAGATCCTTAGCCTTTGAGCCGTACAGAAGAATACAAAAATTGCGGTTCAAACGCAACTCATTATCATCTCTGCAAACATGACAGCACAGAGGTGTAAAGTGCCCCAATTTAGCGGCATACCTATGTGAAAGAACTGCATTAACTTTTCAAGTAAAACCTTAATAAAGTTTAATTGAAATGGGTGGGGTGGGGGGGAGAGCGTGGAGAAGCAAACCCATGTATGCCCACTTGCTCCAAAGTACAACCACCAAGGCAAGATTCAGCCTACCACAATTCATACAGCTCACATCTTGTTCCTCGTTGAGCTTACTCCTGACGACAGGAATAAGCTGTTAAGCAGCCTACCAGGATTAAACCACGACAGCAAAGCAAGATAAAACTTCTAACAGACTATACCTTGTTTCCAGTCTACTGCTTCCCTGAGGTCCCAACTTTCCTGTCTAACGTAGTCAATATATAAAAAAAATGCAGCTGATCATTTTACAAGGGCATGCGTGAACTCCAAGTCACACAAAATGATGCACAAGCACCCTCCAGAAGTGGATCTGGTCATCCACTGTGGTATTCTGACACTGAAGTAGTGACCACAAACTTTAGTCCTTAAATGTCTCCTTTCCAGACAATCCTACAAGTTGCAGGACTACCAAAGTCATACCTTTAAGGAAAACCTGATATCCAAAACATTGTGCTGAAGCCACATCAGAATGAAGTCATGGATGTCAAAGAATAATATTCACAAAGAAGCCTGCAATAGTTAAAGCTTTATAAGCTAAATTCCAGTTCAGCTTCAAGGAAAAGTATTAACTGCTCTAACTCTGAACAAAATGTTTGTTATAGTTACTCCCTCAACTTTCACCAAAGCACAGGAGGAGGGAAAAAAAAAAAGTAGTACAATGCAGTCTACCCACCTCACCTCAAACTGGAGGTAATGAGAGCATCCAAACCACCTTGAAAGAAGTGATCTTATCAGTATTCAAATAAATTGGAAACAATACCTCCTTTCAGCATCAAGTGGAAGGAGCTCATTTCGCAGTCAGCACTTCGAAGAATTTTCTATGTCATTTCTCCTGATACCTGTCAATATAAAGTAAGTGATGAGGACTTTAATGCATCAGTGCAAAGCATTAAAAAATTACTCTTAGGGGGAGAGGGAGGAAATTGGTAACATTGTTTACAAGCAGAAAGTAATGGGTATTTATCATTTAAGGATTAATTTAAAACATCTGAATTAACGACTCTGCATTATAAAACAATTTTTGTGCCAGTTTTATGCCAATTTCTCAGCTTTTACAGCACTCCAATTTCACAATCCGTATCAAAGGCAAGCGTGTTCATTTTAGCAACTCCAACCTGGTTCCCGAGAATCCAAGCACATACAAACAGTCCGCGCCAGACAAGCGTGCGGTTGCCAAATTTACGAAGCAGAAAACCAAAGCGCATCCAGCATTTTGCTCGGGTCCCTGACGAAAACTCTCCAAACTGAAGAGCTGATGCTGGAACCAAACCGGAGCCCTGATTCAGCTCAGCAGCTTTTCACGGAGAGCTGGCTCACGCCCACCCAGCTGTGGCTGCCCGGGCTCCCGGGGCAGCTCCTCGCCAGGTTTGCTGCTGGGATTTCTGCAGGCATCTCTCTCACCCAAAGCCTTGATCCTGTCGTCACGCGAAGGGTTAAAAAAGAGCCCCTGTTTGATCAGAGTTATGCAATAAATAGTTGCTGTAGCGTTTTGCCGGGTCAAGAAGATTTACGCCAAGCTTTATCCTGCTTCCTGTTACAAGTACTTTACAAAAATGTGCTAGCGGTCAGCACTCCCAGTCTTCATTCTTGTACCGTACTTCCTACCTGGGTTTGTATAACGCGATACACAACGAGGAAGCAGGCACGAATGCAAAATAATAATTAAAAAAAAAAAAAATGACTCCCAAGGAAGCTATTCGGTGCCACAAAAGCGGGAAAACCAGCAGTCACACGCCGGGGTAGCGGCACTGGGCGAACACACCGCGCCTCAAAACAAACGGCCTCAGAACACGCCCGAAATTAACAGAAACCGCAGGGTTTGGCGTGGGTTTTGGGGGAACCACCAGCGCTGCAGACTACCTGCCGAGGAGCCCGGGGGACGCGGGGCCAGAGGGGGCCCTGCCGCCACCGCCCGCTCCTCACGCTGCCCCACAGGCGGCAAACGGGGTGGCGGAGCGGCCGGAGACGACACGCGGGAAAGGAAAAAAAAAAACACGCGGGGAAGGAAAAGAAGCCCCGCTGCCGCCAGGCCCCTCGCCGCAGCCGGACACCCCCGCTGCCCGCCGAGCCGAGCCGGGCCGAGCCGGGCCGAGCCGGGCCGAGCGGGGCCGAGCCGAGCCGAGCCGAGCCGAGCCGAGCCCCGGAAAGCACCGAGGCGGCCGCCCCGCGCCCCCCTCCTCACCTCTGCCCGCTCCCCACACCTCGCCGGCCCGGCCCGCACCACGCCGCCGGCGGGAGCAGGCCCCGCCTCGCCCCTCCCAGCGGCCGCCCCCGGCCCGCCCCACCGCCCGCGGGCCCTGCCCGCTGCCGGCGGCCCGGGCGGCCGCTGCGGGGCGGGCTGAACGGCTGTGGGGGGCCCGGCGGGCCGGCCTGGCTCCGCCGACCCCCGAAGGGGCGCCTCATGGTGGCCTCCTGCGTGGCCTGCTTTGGGCCATCTCCCCGAAGTTTGAGCTAACCCTGTTTTCCTTGGCGCCCGCCCACTTCCTTCAGCCGCCACGCCTGGATTTAGTTCCCCTTCGGGCCGTGATCCCAGCGCGGCCGCGCTGACTTCAGCGCTGGTGCGGGCACCGCTTTTCCCCCGGGCGGCCCTCGGGGCTCAGGGCAAGCCCTGACCGGGCTGATCCTGGAAAGCACCGGAGCCCTGTGGGCAGCTCAGGGTGCCGGCTCTGCCCGGGTGCGGGGCAAACACCCCTCCAGCAGCCCGGTGGGAGCGGAGAAGTTTCACGTCTCCCAATAACCAGATCCCACGGTGCGTCCGGAGCATGCCGAGCACACCATACCTGCCCTGGGCACCTGTGGGGCCGCACGGGTGAAACCGGTCCTTGGCGAACCGGCACCCCCGTCATGGATCAAATACAGGGAATCGCACTTAGGCCCGGTGTTTACCAGAACAGACACGAGTGCCCAGTGCCACCATTCCCGTATCCCAGCACCTGAAGTTGCTCAACCTCTCTATTTGGAGCAGAGCTTTGTTTGCTTTCCATCGTTTAAGTGTTTATTTTTTATCTGCTTTGGTTAGTTGTCCCTTCCGCTGTGCCAGGTTACCACTTTTTTGGTTCAGACAATAGTTTCTTCCTTCAGGGCTTTGATAGTAGCTCTACAAAGTTCTCATTCTTTAGTTTGATGCTGAAATTAAACATGTTCAAACATAGAAATGAAAATTTTTCCAGACAGGGAGAATTTTCTCTGGAATTGTTTCCTTGTTCGTAGTTTTCAAATCAGTGCCTTTTCCTCCTTGAGTTTGCCTTCACCTCGTTCGTTTTGGTTACCATAAGCTCACTTTTAGTCACTTCTCAAAGACCTGACTGTAGGGTACTCAGAGCAGTTGCTTATTCCCATCTCTGCTTTTATTCAAGATCGAGATGCATTAGCTTTATTTACATTCCAGTTGAAGTAAACACACTTTCTAATATGAATTGTAAAAACGTAAGAAGAAGCTTCATCTTGGGTTTTGAACAATTTTCAAACCAATGTGAAGGGACTGTCAACTTGGTTAAGGGTTTGGAAAAATGTGAGAAGGCATGTTTTGGCTTACTAAATGGTAGAAGAGATCCTCTGTTCCAGACTCAGAGAGCTACTACTCTTTCCCAAGTGGAAAGGTTGGGCTTTCTTGTTGGGTAGGACTAGTTTTCTTCCCTCTTGGCTTCATTAACACTAATTAGAGGAAAGAAGGGATTCTCATACTGGCCTTTCTTCATGTTGACAATATCAGGATGAAGAGCTGGCTTGAGCCACGGAGGTCTCAGGGGAAAGCTGTGAAATGTTTACTAGCTTTACCTATGATATAAAGGGGGAGAAAACCCTTTATGAGCTGGATGGGTAAATTTATATTCCCGTTCCTCTATGTGATTATAAGCCGTTGCAAGCTTTCACATCTATTTTAGCCATGCAAAGTGCTTTTATCTGCTTTTACCTTCACTGGTTGAGTCAAGGGTGATGTTAAGGTGACTGGCTAAATCGGGGAAGCTTCAGGGGCCATAGCACTCTTAGGAACAAAGATATTAGAGTGCTCTAAGTGTTTATCTGCCCAATAAAGTATTTGTTCCACAATATCCAAAGCATAATAGCAATGCCTCCAATTAAGCTGCACAAAGTTTGAAAGCTGGTGACACAGCGGGGTTCAGAGGAAGAAGTGTATCCCAGTAGCTAGCAATGACCAGGAAAGCTCTCCACCGTGTAGCAAGGGAATAGGGAGCATGGTAGCAACCCATCAGTCTCGGGGAAAAGTAACACATATATTGGATATGTATAATACTTGGTAAGTGTTGCAGATAAAATGGTCATCTGTAGAATCTGGCATATATCACTATTTCCATAATTCTGATATCTCATATCTGTCATGAACACGCTTTTAAAGTAAAAACCCAAAGTACTTTCTGGCACTCATTTTAGAGAAACGAATCACTCCAAACCAAAAGTACACTTCCAAAAGAACACACGCAAGTGTCAGCACAGCCAAATTGTGAATCAGGAGCAAAGTATGCATTTTTCTCAGAGCAGAGGATGTTTCCTAGAGTTTCTTAAGAGTGTTGTGAATGAATTGAACTTGAAACATCCAGTAAGAGTCCAGTTAGAGGGGAGTAATTTTGTGAATTTCTGTTCATGTTCCACTGTAGAGCTGTTTTCCCGAGTGAGTTTTACAACCCAACCTGTTATCTCGATTACACAGTCAACTGTGTGAGTATAACTAGGCACCAAATTCACACGTAGTTGGGAAAAGCCTCTCATTGCTTCCAACTTCTGGCCTCTCGGGCATGTTTCAGGGCTCAAACCTCTGGGCTGATGCCAGGTTGCTGCTAGTGAGACTGCATTGTTCAGAAATCAGTCAGCACCAAGAAGCCAGACAAAGGTTTGTGTCCTTCAGTATTGGGGAGTCGGGGTGAACTTCAAAGCAACACAGTAGGTTGTTTCAGTTGGCCCTGAAAGGTACAGCTCCCGACACATCGATCACTGATGTTGGAAGCGATGGCTATGTCACGCTAGTTAATTCAAAGGCAGTCTGGTAATTCCAGTGAAGTTCTCCACAGGCCTCTGCACCTCTAGTTAATATAGGTTAATGTGGAAAGCAAGCAAGACATATTTATGCCAGAGAGCCTATTTATACTGAATTAAATATTGCTACAGCTCGCTGCAGCACCAAAAGCTATAGATCTTTGAAAACAAACCAGTTCTGAGTCCTACAATCTGAACACACCTGTTTTAGCACAACAGCAGAGCTTGTGCCCAGCAAGATCCTCATTCCACAAAATCTTAAATGCATGGGTGGTTGATTTTCTGGTTGGCCAAGTCCAAAGTCTAAATCAAAACTGAGTACCTGCATAACCTACTAGATCCCTTCCCTTAATGCCCTCACTCTTCTTGGAGAGGATGGGGTAGCAACTGAAACACAGACACAGACACCGCATTGTACTCATAACAGTGCTCTTGGTGTTACTCCTTCAAAGGCGTGTCAGACCTATTTTGTACACATGGCAGTAACCTGAAACATACTTTCATGTATTGATGCTTGTTCAGTCCCACTGTCCAGCATTTTCCAAACAAAAGAGAGAGGTTTCCTATTTGATGAGGTATATCCATCCACACTTAAAGCAAATTTATACCAGATACAGCAACAGATCTCAAATTGACATTTTAAGTGAAAAACCTAAACATACCTGTTATCTCAAAAGACAGCTTTTGCAATTGGAATCTCATTTAAAATAAAAATAGATGTTTCATTTTTCTTTTTAAAAAATCTAGATCTTTCATCAGTTCCATGTTTCCATGTGCAACTGCAGCTTAAGTGGAGGAGGTCTCTGCAGTTATGTGACCACCGCTGCAACACTTAACCAGGAATGCATGCTAGGAGCACCTTTCTCCTCCTGTCCACTCAGAATCACTGTGGATTTCTTTACAGGGTGATTCTCTTCTATCTTTTCTGTGACTCTTTTCCATGCCTCCTGAGAGCAATACTGACAATTGTTGGGGATTTTTCCTTTTTGTCTTCAGCACACAGAAGCTTTATGGCCTTGCTTATTTTCAATGTGACTAAGCAGGTCCAAACCCCCACTTTTTTGGCCTTACCACATTACTACTTAAGTAAATCAGTCATGCTTGTATTTCTGACACTACCTGAATAGTTCTGGTTTGGACTGAAGTAGTTCTCTATGCAGATCCCGGAATGATTTCAAGGTTATTATTGGTCTCCTTAGGACTTCCTTGAGGTGGAGACAGTATGTTGGCACTAACAATACTCACCAGAGC